AATAAGTAAAAATTAAAAAAAAAATAATACACTGTAACCCAGTTAGAGCGCAATTAACAGCCCTTTGACAGAGGTCATTTTCATTTGTATAGACTAGTGTGGGAGTAGTTCTCCTGTTCCCTGCTGGGTCTGCATTGGATTAAAAGTGGGACCCAGCCCAAGGGTTCCAACTGACAAAAGACTCATCAAAAATTATCACTTTCCCTCTTTGTATGCKCCCTCCTCCTGTTCCCTCGACATGCTAAGCAGGCGTCAGTAGGTTGTTCAAACATAATTAGTGGAGGCCAACAAGGACTGCAAGACCTTTTATTCACTGTGATATTAATGGGTTGTACATGTGAAGGGTTATCTAAAGATTGTCCAGCTGTAGTTCATCAGGCCTGTTGTTTCTATATGAATGCTACATTTGATGACTTTGGAAAAATAGTTGTTTGAAGTCAAAAGGGGGAAACTCAGTGTCCTGCCTGCCATTGCTACTTAGCTCTTTTTGTGATCCAAGATCCAAAATTAACATGTCTTCTTTACCCAATTTTTACCTCATTTTTAAAGACACATAACTGACATAAGTAAACTGTAATTACTCGGAGTATGACTACATTGAGTATGTTAGAAGTCTGAAGGGCCTCCTTTGCTTCTGTATGATTTCTTCCTCCTTCACCACACATGTGGTCTCTGCTGAGCTGGAGTGCAGATGTGCTTTAGAGCTTGGTAATCACCAGCTTGGGGCTTCTCACTGTTCGGCCCTAGTCTTTAACAGCATGTAAGCACTTACTCATTTGCCTCGTAATATTATGGTAGGAAACCTTAAAAGAGATGAACTTATACAGAGGCAAAGTAAAGCTGCCATCTCCCCTCACACAAACAGTCCCTTTGCCAAGTGAACGCTTAAGCAGCTTGTATTGACTTTACTAGAAGATGCAGGAGAGTCTTGGCATTTTTTTTTTCAATGTTTTTCTCATGCACAGCCGTTGCTGATAGATTTCCTGGTTCAACCTGACTGTAAAATTATGAGTGTGTGAGAGTCAAAGAAATATTTGAGCTGGTATGAAAATGTGGGAGGAAGTAAAGTGGTGTTTAGCAAAAAAGTGTTCATCCCTTTAATCTTTCCAAGCCTTACAAGTGTTAGTGTTTGGAGATAACTAAAGGTCTTTTTATTGACATTTGAGCCTGGCTTTCCCAGGTCTTTACAGGGGCGTCTATGAGACTCTCTATACTACTCATATTTCTTGTAATTATCAAATGTGTAACACATGCATATAAGTAAGAATGTTTGTAGTAGTCTGTCTGTATTTTTTAAATACAGAGAGAATTAATGGTTAAGATTGATGGCAGTTCTACACAGAACAATGTATTTTAGAACATCTCATTGTAGATTTTTTTAAAAAGCCTTTTTGCTTTATTGAGTATTTTATTGTCCTTCCTTCCCAACACAATTAAAATAGGTGGTTTTAGACAGTAGCATCAGGTCACAGTCTTTCTAACAGTTTGAGCTATTTTCTGTCAGTTGTTGCAGTTGTTGTTTTCTTACTGCTATTGCAACMCATTCTCACTCCCGAGTCGTCACATATTGACGTTTTTCAAAGGTCCCTTTGCGTCCAATTTTGACGCATCAGGTACCCCCCTTGCGTCATATTTTGACGGGATGGGGCGGAATCTGTTGTCGTAATTTTTCTAAGTGTAGAAAATGCACAAATACTACCGTCCCAAAGYGTGAAATTACGTTTATTCACTTTAGACATCCTGTCCCAGACCCTAGTACCTAAAATTAACCATTAACCCTGATACGTAAAATTAACCATTTTTAGAAAATGTAGGAAATTCATGGCAACTACGTGTTGCAAAGCCTAAAATTACCTAATGTTCACTGTAGACATCCTATCCCTGACCCCAGTCCCTAAACTTAACCATTTATCCTGATCCCTAATGTTAACCTCAGACCCCCGACCCAAAGACCCCTGGTGGCGCAACCCGGAAAAGCCGCGGGCGGCAAGGACTGACGCGAGGGGGGTACCTGATGCGTCAAAATTGGACGCAAAGGGACCTTTGAAAAACGTCAATATGTGACGACTCGGGAGTGAGAATGTGTTGGCTATTGTGGCCATTCACAAATCTCACAAATATTTTAAATTTTTTATATTTTTGCCTCTGCTTCACAGTACATTCTTAACCCAACAAGGATGTTTGGGTTGGTGTTTGGAGATGCATTTGCCTTCTATACGAATGCATGTTGATTCAAACTGAATGCTTTTCTAGCACCCATCAAAAACTGCACATCTCGGCATCTAAAATGCTTCCTTTTTAATGTTTGTAGCACTCTTTCAAACCCCACTTTAAAAATCATACAAAGGATAWACAACACACATCTCTAATAGTCTTTGACCAAGGGCTTGACTCATTTCTACCACTCATGTTGACTCTGTGCATCTTCACAGTTTTTTCATTGGGTGATGCCATCCACTTCCAATTCAGCTCTTAGGACCTATGCAGCCACTGTTCTAAGCAAGCAAAATCAAGCTGAGAGTTTGATGTTAGCAGACTGCAGCATGAACATTAAGGAGTCACACAAATGATATCAAGTAGCCATTATAGGTTGAACTAGTTTAAATAGTAACATTTCATGCACAAATACACCTTAAACAGTGCACTTGATAGAATTCTTGAGAAAGGAAAGAAGGAAAAAAACTGTTCTGTAAAACAAATCTGTTTAAAGTTTTTGTATTTTCATTTTAATCAGTACAGTCAGTTTTTTGTTGCAATGAACCCCGTGGAAATGTCGGAAAGGAACATCTCAATGTTTAGTGCAGCTGTTATCAAGTCTTAGAATATTTTGCTGAGGTCCAAACAAAGCGGAATCAAAAAAATGCAGGATGGAAATGCATCAGGAAACAACGGGTAACAAACATTGCAAAAACAAGGATACGGCAAAGGATAATGAGACTTGTCATTTGCAGGTGATGACTAACTGAGCCATCTAACAAACCAGTCACAGGTGTGGAACTAAGCAGGAAGGGAAAACAAAAACAACAGCTGAAATACAGAAAAGAAAAACCTTTTCATAATAAAACAGAAAGTAACGTTAACAGTTGAGTATTGTGCAAAAATCAAGAGACTGAATCTAAACTAGAGGAAATGTCAAAGAAAACTGTTGCAACAACTTTAACTAAATGCTGTTGTTTGTAGTTTCTAAAATCACACTTTTATAGTTTTATGTGTAAATCTTGTACTAATCTTGCACATCCAGTGTTCTCCTCACTAAGCTTGTCTCTAAGTTTGGGTTTAGTCTATAATCTTTATAGACAGCTTGTGCATTAGACATGCTTGTTAATGGCTGCAACATCTGTGCTCGTGCCTTTCAACACACTCATGCAAACAAACAGCGTAATATGATGCTATGCGTTGGCATCCACTTAAACATATAGCACATGCTGACAAAAGGAGTTTAACCCCAAACACACAAACACTCATACACACACACACAAAGCACCATTAATTCATTGCTGCAGATGGAATTAATTTCCCGTCATTATCATCACAGACACTTCCATCTGCTTATTGCTGGGAAAGAAAGTGTTGAGCTGGCAGATGTGSTGATGCCAGAGAGGAGGCAGAGAAATACATTGAGGGTGTTAAAGAACCTCAGAAACTTGTAGCTTTTTTTTTAGGATTTTAATGCCACATTCTTGCGGTGTCTAGATGAGTTGTTAATTACATATTTTTGAAATGAGAAAGTAGATGCCTTGCTGAAAGATCGCCTTATTATGTTCTACTCCCCCACTAAGTTTTAAAAAAATATCATTCATGTTAATCTCTTGATAAAGGGGTATTTGGGGATGGGAATTATTGCTCATTCTTGTGGGTTGAATAAGTGGATTTTRTTTGACTGAAAAATGACAGTTCCTTCTGAATGGAGGGATATCTGTGGAAATGTGTTTTCCTGGACGTGCYTGCAGAAAATGCCAGACGGATGAAAAGACGAGAAAACAAGGAGGGACAGCAAAGAAAGCTGATRGGAAACATCTCCTTTGACCTTGGTTTGATTGCTACCTATTGGAGAAAGCTTTGGTTACTTTCTGCGAAAGAAAAGTTTCTTTCTTCCAATTCAGATCTTCATGTTGGGATTTTTTTTAACATGCTGCTTTTCAAGCCATTGACAGAAAAGATCTGCCAACCTATGGCCCTACTGGTTGACCTGAGACTTTCTGTGAAACACCGCACTGAATCGTTAAGAAATAATGAAAGGAGCAGTGAATAGATACTCAAAAGATGTGCTGGCAGCTGGATGGATGGATGAATGGATGGATGAGATGGTGGCAGTCTGCCATATCTCCAGGCACTGTTTTGACAACAAGAGCCTCACCATGGCTTCCCTTTTGTCCTGCTTCTGTTTATTTTGTCACCTGCTAGTCTGAGGGGATTGGGGTCAGTTCAGCCAGAGCAGGGTGCTCTCTCGAATACACACTCCCATACACACTTAATACACTGCCAATGAAGGCGATGACACATGCACACACACAAACGGGTCACAGGTCACTGGGTCAGTGGGTACATGGGCATGACTGTGTTTTGATTCAATTCAGTGAATGTGGGTCTTTTGATTGCACAGCTATTTTGTGTGCATTTGATGAGCTGCAGAGTAAATTAGGCAAAACTCCATGGTCAGGAGGAATGCTTAAGATTTGGTAGCTGTGTCTTTCAGTTCACAGCACTGATCAGAGCTCTTGAATAAAGAGTCAAAACAGTCTGACATGTTCACTTGATCGCAGCAGGCCAGAAAAAGTTAATTAATCTTACTTGGATTAAAACAATTCTGAAGGAAAACTTTTCATCTCCCCACATATTAGCATTGAAGCTAATGAAATGCTGATGTTTCTTCTAAAATTTTGCTTTATCCTACCATTTGTGCAGTTTACAGACAAAATTGTTGGTATCATTTATCTGGAAGAATCTCTGTGTGACTTTAATCATTGTTTGTTGTGTGTATGTGTTGTTTTTTTTTTTAGTCAGGATTGATCCGTGTCCTTAATGAAGAGTATTTAATAGCTCCACTACCTCAACATCTGGCCGAGCAGCACAACTACAGCGCTCCTGATGGTCATCACCCGCATGTAGTCTACAAGCGCTCAGCAGAGCACATTGTTCACAATAGACCCCGCAGCTCCAGGAGCACTGGTTCCTTCAGACCTGACCATCCTTATCTTCACTATCAGCAGCAGGAAAAGCAACATGACTACCAGCATGGAAAGCTGCAGAGGCAACACTTCTGCGGGCGCCGCAAGCAATGTATGTAAGGGAACCTTATATTTTTTATATCACATACCTTTGGTTAGCTACTTGTTGATGCTGATGCATTATTGATGTCTAGCCATGATAAGTATCCTTTTTGTGCCGACTTTCCATTCATCAATGTAAAAAAAAAATTATGCAAAAGCAAATGTAAACTCACGCATTGGCTTTTATAAGTACAACATCCCACAGTAATGTTTGCTTATGGCTTTTGTAGCCCTTAAAGTGTCAGATGAAAACACAACATTGAAATTAATTGTCAGAGTTTATTTTTGCAGACTTGTTATAGGGCAGTTTCTAGTATTAAATATGTTCATTTTAACATTTTGTTGTGATGTGTTCTGACCCCCCCCAGTTTTTATGTCCTTCACTCCCTGGTTTGTATATTTATAAAGTAAAATTCACATTACAGTAACCTAACACATCATTAACTTTAACAACAACTAAACCACTGACAAAGACCAAAGAAGACTACACTGTTATGGAGCCATTTGTTTAATTTCACCAATCATTTATGGATCCAGTTAGGAAAGTGATACAGCTTTTAAAAGTTTGTCAAATCTGTTTGAAATAGGGTGAAATTACAATTAAAAAAGCAAAAAAAAAAAACTTTTGCAACACTGCTGTTCAGACCTCATGCCAGAGTATTCTGATGTCCTTTTCATATACCTTTTTACCATTTTTGTTTACTTTACATCACCTATGTCTTGTACAAATAGACTCCAATCCATATATTCATGTAAGTTAACTGCTGAAATACAACAAATTAGAGGAAAAATGCCAAATGGGTAAATTCATCACCCTGTACAGGGAAATTTTGATTAAAAATGACAACTGAATCTATTCATGTATTCAAATATGCAATATATAAGAAGGCATTTTGGCAACACTAAACTGATGTTAAATGCTCTGTTGGGTCGTGGTGGTAAGCGAAGATGGAGAGAATGCTGCCTCTTCTGATCACCAGCCATGGTCAGAAAAATAGAAATATGCTCTCCTTCATAATCTCTTATATTCTCCATCTCTCACATATTTTGTTGTTCTTTTCTTTTTGTTTTCCTAGATGCTCCTAAACCACCAGCAGAGGATCGGTTCATCATGCCTGATGAGTTTGCGATGCCTGAAGTGGAAGAACCAGGGCGGACAAAAAGATCCCCCATCAACTCTAACAGCGTGGGAGGTCTGAATGTGGAGACCTTGGTGGTGGCAGACAAGAAGATGCTGGAGAAACACGGCAGGGAGAATGTCACCACCTACATCCTCACTGTCATGAATATGGTGAGGATGGAAAAAACAAGGAAAGGGAAATGAAAGAGCGAGATAGTGATGAGCAAAWACAACAGTTTGTTGAAGTTCTCTTTTTCTCTAAACCTTTGATTCAATGCACTACTTTAATCTCCAAGGGAAGAGACATATTGTCAAGGTGTTAGCTCAGGGGTGCCCAATCACTAGCCTGTATATCTTGTAAGCCAAAGCTTTTAACCTAAGATCTGGTGTTATATGTTAGTATATGCTGGGGAATACTCCTCTCTACTCCCACATCAAATTTTAGCCCAATAGCTGTAAAACTGACTGACTTAAGCTGGGTTCACACCAAACGCATTTTGAGCAGCAAAAATGCGCCCAACGCCTCAAGTTGTTCGCACTACATTCAGACTGGAACAGAGACTAGACACACATCTGAATGGGAAGAGTGTCTTGGTTTTTCTCCAGTCTGTCTTAATGGCGGATGAAATAAAAATATGAAATAAAGAAAATGGCTTTGCTTTATTTACTGAGAGCAAGCGAACGTTGCACACACTAGATAATTAATCCACCAGATAATTTAGAGGCAGTATGTTCGGTGAGTTTCACCACAGGTGCTGCGAGCTGGCAAACAAATTTTTTTGTCCGGATCCCAGTTTAACACTGCGGTCAGTTTAGAGCTGCTGACCCACATTGGTGTTCATATCTCTTGCCAGAACACTAATTACAGATGGTCGATTTCAGCTAAAGAGCTCCTGTCCGTCTGTTTGAGGTTAGTGGGCAACATACAGGAAATCGTCACGTGGAAAAATGAGTCTCTCTGATTGGTTGACGCGGTGCCTCAAGCAGCAAAAGTTCAATTTTGTTAACTCGAGCAGCGGCTGCTTTGGACGCGCCGCATGCATGGAAAACGCTCTACCGCTTCCTTGCGTGCCGTGCTAAACGAGCTGAACATGCCACGCTGCTCCTAGATGCACATCCACCATAGACCTTGCATGTAAACTGGCTGCTTTAGCTGCTCAAAACGCGTCCGGTGTGTACCCGGCTTTATATATACAGTATATATATGCAAAATCTTGCAGAAGGGGTTAATGTTCAGAGTGTGTCATTGGGATGTCAGCTACTATATGCAATTTAGCNATATATAACTTTTGTGTTTGTTGAGCTTGATTAGCTGTTGCAGTTTGAATCTGATTGACTTCAGAAGTTAATTAGTTGTAGACAGTGCATCCAGCCATCACATTTCTGACCAGTTTATCCAGTGATTCAGGATATATTTTGCTAACAGACAGACAAACACAGATGCACACACAGACATATGGAATAACACAATCATTCGCCATTACGACAGATACAAAATGGAAAATTTAAGTAACATAATTGGTTTGAGTAGGAAAAAGCTTTATCTAAGAATGATTTTTAATAATCTAATAAATTGGACAAATAAGAGCAAACACTTTATAGCTGTGAATGTCACACAGTTGAATAATTTTGTATAGAACCAAATGCAAGTTAGAATAATTTTGTGACAGTAGTGTTATCAGAGTCAAACATTTTAAAAATAAAAGACATTTAGTGCTACCAAATGACACATTTTACTCTCTTTGCAGGTTTCCAGTCTTTTTAAAGATGGTACCATTGGCACGGACATCAACATTGTGGTTGTTAGCTTGTTGCTGCTGGAGCAGGACCCTGTGAGTGGACTCAGACTACCAATTTTTTACTTATCCACATTTCTCCATGTTTAATTTCACACTGATCTGTCTGATATTTTCTTCTCCCAATTTTTTTTACCAGCTTGGCTTGAATATAAACCACCATGCTGACTTGTCACTGAACAGTTTCTGCCAGTGGCAATCAGGTTTGGTGGGGAAAGGAGGCAAACGACACGACCATGCTGTTCTTCTCACCGGACTTGACATTTGCTCCTGGAAGAACGAGCCCTGTGATACACTGGGTAGGACTTTACTCAGCGTATCAAGTTAAAATCATAAAGTTTAATGATGATGAAGACTCTGGAACTTTAACATGTTCTTATATTGTATATTGCTGAAAAGATGATTCTGTGGACAACGGGGGATTCTGAGTGATAGATAATTCTTTTTGGAAGAAACAGACATTAAACAAACAAAAAAAAAAGGAATGTGGACTACTACTGAATGTTCCTACTTTCTTTTCAGTGACAGGCAATCCCAAATCCAGGTTTAGTTATCTTTTTCCTGAATCTGTCGGGCCCACACCTGTGCAGGATGTTCTCCGCCTCTCATCCAGTGGCAGCTTGGATAAACTCCAGCATACCTGTGACCCTGAACAGGATGCAATGATTATAGAACTGGGTGGATGTCAGGACCACAATGAGCTGCTTTTGTTACAAATTTAGCTATAGAGCTCTGAAAACAACTGTACAAAACCTGCTTTGGGACTTGTGACAGACCTTTTCAGCCCGCCACTTATTTCATAAAAGAATGTGCTGAGAACAACACAGAAACAAAAGAGAGAAGATATTCTCATGATTCACAGTGGAGTTTTTTATGTAGGTACCTGATACCACACCTCTCATCATTCTTTCTTTCTCCCTGCAGGTTTTGCTCCAATCAGTGGAATGTGCAGTAAATACAGGAGCTGTACCATCAACGAAGACACAGGACTTGGCTTAGCTTTCACCATTGCTCACGAGTCTGGACACAAGTGTGTTACTGTTTATTTTTTTTTAATTTTTATTACAAAGGTTAAACTAAACTAGCTGCCATAACCAATTAGAATTCAGAAACTTTGTCAACCTTCTGTTTTAACTATCAGCTTCTAAATACAAATGAATAAAAACGATATTAATTAAACAAACCACATCAATTAGTTAACAATTACATTTTACGTATTATTTCTCACTGTCCTAACACTTTCAATCACATCAGATTGACATGAAAAAGCTTTTATTCATTAAAGAAAGACAAATTTAGTTTTTWAAAATAATTTGCATCAGTTTTCCTCCTGACCTTTTTTAAGGAATAACTTAAAAAGAAATTGGTGTCTTCTAGTGAAAACCTAATTTCATGTTATCTGCATTTTTTTTCCAGCTTTGGGATGATCCACGATGGAGAAGGGAATCCCTGTCGAAAGACAGAGGGCAACATCATGTCTCCCACTTTGGCTGGTAACAATGGGGTCTTCTCGTGGTCRATGTGCAGTCGACAGTACCTCAGCCGCTTCCTTGGGTAGGCCCTACAAACACGGATGCTACACTAATCTCACCGGGGTTGTTGCATGCTGGTGTTGATGCTGACCCTGTTGGTGTGCTGTATTCACCAGAACAGCCCAGGCATCCTGTCTCGGGGACGAGCCCAAGCAGATCGGTCAGTACAAGTATCCTGAGCAGCTTCCCGGGCAGCTGTATGATGCTGACACACAGTGCAAGTGGCAGTTTGGGTCAAAGGTCAAACTGTGCAGTCTGGATTTTGTCAAGGTTGTTTATTCATCAAATGCATTTTTTTACTTCAGTTTTTATTTTKATGCATTTTCTTTTGACCATTAATTATGGCTACCTATGACTCATAGTGTAGGTTATATTATGCAAATTTGAGCATCATATAATCTTATAGTCTCTAGATATTTTACCCAGCAATTTCAGATCCTTAAATTACCAAATGATCGCCATGCACTAAAACTCATGACAGACCCCAGTAATAAGACACACCTAATAATAGAGAAGCTGGGATTACCTGCTTAAGAGCCATAATCATTCAGTACTAATCTGGCACTTTAATAATTAACAAGATCTTAGCACAGCAGCCTGAAAAACCTCATATTTGATCCTTGAATAAAATGCATTCCATCCTTGTAATGGTWACCCCTACACACCCCTTCTCAGAATCATTGTAGTCATAATACACATTTTTGYGCATTGATGCATTCAGAGATGTTAATTCACATGTAAATGCTGTTTAAAATACAACAAACCTTCGTTATGCAGGGTTGCTGGGAAGCTTGCCAAATTAATTATAAATTGCTAGATTAGCTCACATGACAGCACCTTGGCTATTCACATCTTCCCCAAAATTCTCTCCAGTGTTTSTCTACATCTGCATGTCTTGGACCTGTGCAGAAGGTGGCGGGTGGTAAATCACCCTTCATCCTTATTAACAGTGGATGTCAGGCAGCTGTTCACACATTGTCACCATTTATTTTTGTGTCCCTTAGGGCTCATGCGCCGTGTTTTTTTAAGCATGCTTGGTTTGCTTCCTCCCACCTGCTTGACGCCAGTGAAGTTGACCTGCCTTGAGAACAAGGCATCAAACAAGCACAGTAGTCTGGTACTTATACCTCCTGCCCTCCGTGGCTCCTCTCGCTCCCTGCTTGTTGCAGTCAGGCAGGCTGCCAGCTTATACAGCCTGTCTTTCGACCCCCAATTCTTTTTTTCTGGGCTCACTTGCTTGCTCTGGCCATGTTTTGTTGGGTCAGATGACAAATACAATCAAAGCTCATTTCATTAAAGAACTACCCTGATTAGGTTTGACAGAGAGGCTTTGAAGAGAGGCCGGTTGGAGGTGGTGGAGGCTTAAGGACCAGCTTGACTGTGGTGCACTTTGGTGTGGGAAGAGGAAAGGTTGATGGGATCAACCATGCTTACGTTTTGACAAATGCCTTGTGTTTGTGTGTTTCTTGTTTGACAGGACATCTGTAAGTCCCTGTGGTGTCACCGCACAGGGCATCGGTGTGAGACCAAGTTCATGCCTGCTGCAGAAGGAACCACCTGTGGTCCAGACATGGTAAGCAAAGAATCTCATATTTCTCTGGTGGAACAAAACATTCAAGATCTCCACACACTCAGTCCAAAGCTGAACAGTCGACACGCATTCACGTGATTGTTCAACATTCATTTTTGCACATACCTTCCATTGCCCCTGAGACACGCCAAGCTCCTGGGAAACTCCTCCTGCTGCGGTATACGTCACTGCCACTGCACGGAGGTTCCACAGTGTGTGTGTCTGGACAGACACACACACATGACAGTTCAATATCCACCGTTATTTGTCTACAAATATGTTCGCCACAGTTTTTGTCAGACAAATTTCTCCATGCCCAATGTCTGTGTTAACTCCAACCATGAGTTTTTGACTATTTGACTATCTTTATAAATGTCTGCTTCTGGGTACAACAGTCTGATAGCAGATGTGAGCAGTTGGAGCAAAATGCATCATCCAAGCACTTTCGGCATAAACAAACACGCCCACAAACTTCTGACCATTCCAACAGTAAGTTCTCATATGGACAAAAGTTAAAAAGTTCTCCTGGTGGGTTSTGACAAGAAGGGGTAGAAGAYTTGAAGCCGCAAACAAACTGACACTTTTTAYGACAATGAGAGCTGATTTCGGCAGTACAAATGGAGTATGTGGAGGCCTTCAGTCCTGCCTTTCACTCACTAATGAGACAAATTGTGTATGTTATGKAGTGATAAGTTGATAAATATTTGTTCATAACTATGTAGAGATTAAACTATACCATCTATGCATGCAAAAGTAGACCTGCGAAAGTGTTGTGGACATTGTAAAATCACTAAACAAGGTTGCACATACTTTTGCATGAAGAAAAATGATATTTTGACAAAGAGAAAGGTGGTGATGTGTGAAAACAGGTTTTGGCTTGAATCAGCTGGGATGTAATGAACAATAGATGTGTGCGTGTTTTGGCTGCAGCTAAAGTGCCTGAGAGTCCAGGTGTGGTGCTGGGCATTTTTCCAAAGCATAAAACTCCGACAAGACACCCGAGCATCGATAAGAAAACTATTTCTTTCCACTTCTCCTCTTTCATTCCCACCTCCTTTCCCCTTCAGTGGTGTCGGAAAGGACAGTGTGTTAAATTCGGAGAGCATGGTCCCAGGGCCATCCACGGCCAGTGGTCATCCTGGTCCCAGTGGTCCGCCTGCTCCCGAACCTGTGGAGGAGGGGTCATGCATAGGGAGCGTTCCTGCAGCAGCCCGAGGTACACACACACACTCAGAGAGACAGAATCTTAATCTAATTCATCATATCCATTTTAATACTTTGAATCAGTTTAACTTGCCAGATAGTTGACAAAATGATTCATGCTGTCGTGCAGCTGACAGTAAAAAAAGGCACTTGGTCCAGAAAGTAGTTCTTGAAAGACTCGTAGCAAAAATATCTTCCTTTCTGAACACCTGAAAGAGCTTTTTGCCAGGTAACTGTCAGCATGGATATCTGCATAGATTCTGTCCACACACACACACACACACACACACACACACACACACACAC